CTCTTGACAAATGCTCATTCATTTCCTTTCCCAGGGAATCTTGGCTTTCTACCTCAACAGGACAGGCATAGGTAGTTCCTACAAAACTGTACAGGCCCGGCCGGTGTGGCTCAGTGGTTGAGCGTTGACCTAGGAACCAGGAGGTCACGGTTCAATTCCCAGTCAAGGGCACAGGCCCGGGTTACAGTTTTGATCCCCAGTGCGGGGTGTGAAGGAGGCAGCCGATCCATGATTCTCTCTCATCATGGATGTTTCTGTCTCTCTCTCTCCCTCTCCCTTCCTCTCTGAAATCCATAAAAATATATTTAAAAACAAAACAAAATGATTCAGATCTATGATAAACTTGACCCTCAGGACTCAACATAGTCTTGAAACATTTCTCTCTCTCTCTCTCTCTCTCTCTCTCATCTGCCACTTCATCTTGACTCACCACCTCCCTCTATCCCACTCCACAAAACCTCGAAAATTGCGGATGAAAAGTTTCTATTTTAACTCTGACATTACAAGGCCTTTTGCAACTCTAAATTTTTTAGTCCTAAAAATGGGACTTTCTAATAGATGTTTGATACTTTTTTTTTTTTGTCTAATGGACCCAGATGGCTGCAAATGTAATACAAATAGGCCAATTAATTCTACATTTCTTCCAAAGTCAGGGTAATAGTGAAAAACGATCTTAATGGATGGAACGCATTATCGTTGAAGGCCATCCACCTGAGTCTTTGGGGGGGGGGGGAAGTAAATTAGATAGTTTCATACTAGAACTGCTAGTTTTTCCTGCCTTTAAAGGCACCTCCTAATATTGCCAGAATCTTCGGATAACAAAAAGATGAAACAGGCCTGGCCAAGGGCACATGCCCGGGTTGCGGGCTCCATCCCCAGTCGGGGGAGGGCGTGCAGGAGGCAGCCGATCCATGATTCTCTCTCATCATGGATGTTTCTCTCTTTCTCTTCCTCTCTGAAATCAATAAAAAAATATATATATATATTTTAAAAAATATGAGACTCATCAAGGTACCGTTCACAGTGGTTTTTCCTCATCGTCACCTGTTACAAGGCCCTTGTCCAACCTCAAGGACTGACGTCTCCCCCTCTTGACTTACCATCGTGTTTCCGGTTTGATTGGTACCCACATCTAGACTTCGCAGTGATGCTGACGACAGCTACCATCGAAGTGTTTTTCTTTCCCCGACACCAGCCCTCTCTCTACTCACTCCTCGTGTTCGTTCCGCTCCTTGGTGCGCTGTGCACGTCAGCTGGTGTTTGCTGTTTGGCGACAGTGTGGCTCCCTCCTGGGCCTGCTCCTGATGGAGCCTGGCTTCCCTCCCCTCCCCGTGGACAGAGGGCTCGAGCACTTGCCGCTGGAAAACCCTGCCTGAGACATTTGTGTGAATTACTGTCATTGATTTTAATCCTCACCTGAGCATATTCTCTCATTGATGTTTAGAGAGAGTGGAAGGGAGAGGTGGAGACAGAAAGAGAGGGAGAGAGAAGCATCGATGTGGGAGAGACGTGTATGAATTCTTTTATGTCATCACCCTTAGATTGTTCTGCCTAGTGGTTTGCTTTGCTTTAAAGAACTTGGCCACACATTGTCTAGAATGCGGTCTGCTTCCTTCTGAGGGTACTGGGTTCTGCGGGGAGGATCTGGGGGGGCGAGGAGGGGAGGACATACATAATTTGTAGGGCCCGGTGAGAACCAGAACTGCTGAGCAATTCTTAATTATTGCTCACTGATTATTAAGAATGTAACGTCGGTGACAGCAGAGCACGGGACCAAGAGCCACAGCAGAGGGGACACCCCCACGAAGCCCATCATCCTATACAATAAAAGGTTAATATGCAAATTGTCCCCTCAACCCAGAATTTGACCAGGAGGCGGGGCCAGCCAGCCAACTGCCCGCGGCCCCTCCCCCTGGCCTACCTGGCCCAATTGGCCCTGATGGAGGCAGGCTGGCTGGACCCCACCGGTGCACGAATTCGTGCACTGGGCCTCTAGTTCCTACATAAGTAACTCCTGACGACTAAGTCGACTAAGCCAGGGTTCGGGTGACATACTCTGAGACCTCCCTCTACGTGAGAGGCCCCTTGCGAGGCAGGCCGGGAGCCCTGACCACGCTCGCGGCACTTCTGGCGTTCTCATCGTCTTAGTCAGATGGGACCTGGGTTTCGCGTGCAAAGAAAACACTCCGTGCTCCCCATGACTGGAGTGTGCAAATGGCTGGATTTAGTTAGCACCCAAATAGGAGATGCTTTTGCCCTGGCCGGTGTGGCTCAGTGGATAGAGTGTTGGCTCTCGAACCGAAGGGCTTCGGGTTCGATTCTGGTCAAGGGCATGTCCCGCGGTTGCAGGCCTGGTGCCCGGGATCTTGTGGGAGGCAGCCCGTCAATGTGTGTCTCTCTCACATCGATGTTTCTCTCTGTCTCTCCCCCTCCCTTCCATGCTCTCTAACAAAATCAATGGAAAAATATCCTCGGGTGAGGATTAACAGCAAATGTGAGATGTTTTTACACATCAGAGGAATGTGCGGACACTGGGCGGATAGCTCAGCACGAAGGGAATAATGAGGGAGCAAGGGGGTCCCCCCACTCCTCCCCACCCCCCTGTGCACCCAGGGGCTCTGGCTTCGGACGGTGCAAAGGTTTCCATCCGTGGCTCCTTTCTGCTGCCGGGGCACTTCCTGCCCCTGAAAGATCTGATTTACCAGAAAATAAAAAGCGTCTTCACCCAACGGGGCAGCAGAGACGTGAAGTCAGATGACTGTCAAAGGTTTCCCACGGCTGAGTCAGCAGGCGGGCAGCTGGGGATCACTTCCTGTGTCACCCCGTGAGGGGAGGGAAGTCAGCTGGACTGCATTGGGGGCTGCTGTCCGCTCCAGGGACCTGCCAGGCTCATTATGTGGAATGTTCTGGAATGTTCTAGAATGTTCTGGAATGTTCTGCTCTCCAGACAGGGGAAAGCTAGCCCCGCGGACCAGGAAGGAAACACACTCATTTTCTTATTCCTGCTTCTCACTGCGAGGGCTGCATGGGGAGATGCGAGCAGGAGGCCTTCCCTACGACTAGATGGAGGCACCTCCGTCCTTCCTTTTTAGATTGAACGCGTTATTGACTCTGAGTGAGAAACACAGTGTCCAGTGCTGTTGTTGTGACTCTTCTGTGCACATGCTTTCTATCTTATTTTTATAACATATTTTTATTGATTTTTTATAAAATGTATTTTTATTGGTCTCAGAGAGGAAGGAGAGGGAGAGAGAGAGAAACATCCATGATGAGAGAGAATCGCGGTTCGGTTGCCTCCCGCACGCCCCACACTGGGGGGTCGAGCCCACAACCCGGGCCTGTGCCCTGACCTCCTGGTTCATGGGTCGACGTTCATGCTGGTTGGGCCAAAACAATGCTCCATCGTCTCTTTGTCCTCAATCCCTAAAAAAACCCAAACACACAGGCTTGGGCGTCTGGTTTCTGAATCCCGCCATGCCCTTGGCTCCTGCGACACCAAATGCCTGGTACACGGTGTTGTGGGCTTTTCGAGACCTTCCCCTCCATCAGTGGCATTAACCAGCCATCGGTCAACCAATCAACAAACAGATGGGTCAGTCAAGCAACAAACCAATGGGTAATAGCATTCTGGGGTGCCCTGGGGTGCCCCAGGGCAGTGGTTTGGCGAACCCCGGGAACGGGCTGCCTGCTGACAGTCCCGATTGGGGGGCCTGTTCACCCCTGAGCAACCAGCGACTCCCTTCCCAGCCAGACAGCCCGACCCCCCCGGAGCGCTGAGTACCCTCATTAGCGCGTCACCCGGCCCTCCGCGCTCGGTCATTATCTCCCCTTGGCAGGGGAGTAAACTGAGTCACGGAAGTTGAAAGATCTGCTGACGGCGATGCCAGGAGCCCAGGCAGGGCGCTGCCTCCTGCACGCCCCGCTCTGGGGATCGACCCTACCATCCAGGCATGTGCCCCGACGGGGAATCGAACTGCGACCTCCTGGTTCACAGGTTGACCCTCAACCACTGAGCCACACCGGCCAGGCTAAGCCCACTTCTGATACTGGGCTCCGCTGTCCACCAGGGAAACAGGAAATGCAGGCTCCTTGCTCTCAGGCCGCGGCAGTGGGTGCGGGCCCCGAGGGTGCACAGCTGCGGCTGTGGTCAGAGCGGGGTGTCCCTGGCCTGCGTCGCTTCCTGCTCGTTTCGGGAAACTTCTGGGTTGACTTGCGAGTGACCAGTTACCCCCCCGCCCCCCCAACGAACCCCGTTCCTGGTGAGGTTTCCCGCGTTGTGTGTAACTGCCTGTGGACAGGCTGGGAAGCCAGGGAGGTTTTCCCTTTTCCCTCCCCGCTCAGCTGGGTGAGGGAGGAGTTCCCAGAGCCGGGACCTGGCTGCTGATAACCGACGGTGTGAGTGCCATGGGGCAGACATGGGGCAGAGGGCTCGGCCACCAGGCACCGCCGGCTCAGAAGGCCTCGCTGCGTCCATGGTTTTAGCAACACCCATCACTGCCCAGTTTTGCCTGTTCGCTGTTGGTCCCCCAAACTGTTTCCTAAGGGGAACCTCCCCGATTCTGTGCCCGGCCTCCCCAATATTCTGAAATAATGGCCGGAGGGACGAATGAAAACCTCTGGCCTCTGAGCTGCGTCCCTGGTGGGTCAAGGGCAGGCTCCGGACCAGCCCCCAGCCCTGTGCCCTCCAGCGCTAGGTCATGGTCGTCGTCCGTAGGTCTTGGTTACACTCCTGGGTGACAGCCGCCCCCAGGACTGCGGAGAGAGGAGGCAGGGCCTGGTGTGCGGGCAGCAGGGACACGGGTCTGTGTGTTAATGTCGGTGTCAACGCCAGACGGCAAGCCACCCGCTGGCGGTGAGGGCACCATTTGCACCCGCAGCTGTGAGCCCTGAATGGAGGGGTGTGGGGGGCACTCCCCACCGGCCCCCGAAGCAAGCCCTGCATGCCCCCCAGCCCTTGCCGCGCCCTGACTCAGTTTGCCCACCAGGGCAAAGGGGAGACCATGACAGCTCCAGACTTGTTTGCAGAACACACCGAGGGCCTTGAAAGGAAGGTGGTGTTTAAGGTGAGTTCAAAGCCCCGGGTAATTATTTTATGGCCCCTTTTATTCCTGAGACTTCTCTGTTGGCTTGGCTCACGAGCCCCCCCGAGCCCAGAGCCATAAAATCGCGTTTATGCGGGCGCCCTTCACACTCGGCGGGTCCCACCTGCGCAGTTCAATCGGGGTGGGGAGTACTGGGACCCG